GTCCACTTGGCTGGAGAATCTCCTCTGTCGTGTTTTGGGCAGGCCGACTGGAAACCATGTTGTCACTGGCCATGTTTTAAAGCCTGAAATCCATGGTGACAGGAGGCCCCCGTGGAGGATCTAGGGAAGAGGAATTTGAAAGGAAACCCCCACACCACAGGCTACACAGGCTTTCTGTGACCTGAGTACCACTGAGTTGTGCCCTGTGAGAGTGACCGGTGGAAATGGCCCATTTTCGCAGCTGACTCCCGTGAGAGAGCGGGAGGGGCAGGAGCTGCCGCGGTGGGGGCAGAGGAGGACAGGGCTGGAGTGAAATGGGCAGTGTGTCTGTGCTTGCCAGCTGCCCAGCCCTGCGCCCCTATCGAATATGGAGGTTGGGAACCAGGAGACACGCCCGGGCACGCTTTGTGAACGTGGCACTTCCCACAGTCACACCACTGGCTGGCGGAGACCACCCCTCCTGTTGGAAAATGGTCTCTATTGCAGCTCCCATCAGGAAACCTGGAGGCCCAAACTGTTGCTGACAGCCTTTCCCTAAAACGTGCCCATACACCGTGTGTTTTAATGTTTCTATCTCTTCTGTTTCTCCCCGGCCTTCGCCCCACTGAAAAAGGAAAAATATTCCCAAGGACCCTCCTCCCTCCCTTCCACTTCCTCCTTTGGAAGGACGATAAAAAGATTCTTCTCTTCTAGTATCTCCGTGTCCCTCAAGACTCTCCTCTAACCACCCTGGCACTCAGGCTTGTATATTTTCCCTTGCTGGTCCCTGTCTTTCACTCCTGGGTATTAGATAAAGCCGTTGTTGGGAAAAGTGGCTAAAAGAGGGCAAAAAACAGTTTTCTTTGTAACAAAAATATGAAACCATCTAAAAAGAATAAATGAAATAGGCCCATCTTTACAGTAGTATACAGGGTAAGATCCATTTTGCTAAAAAAATTCTTGAAATAAATATGATTTTCAAAGTTCTTATAGCTGAGAATACTATTTTTAAACTGTGAACCCAGTCCACTTAATTTAGCTATGATTTGTAAAATAAAAACTAGCCCAAGCCTTGCTGGGTGGGCCTCTCTTGATTGAGCAGTTATTGTTGGGGAAGTCCATTGTGAAGGGGCTGGTCCTCAGGTCAGCCCGTGTGGGTTCTGATTCATGGATGGCTAGGAGAGAGCGAATCCCATTCAGATTGCCATTGTCAGCCAAGTGCGTTGTCTTATATCCCAATTTTCTGGCAAAGCTGTCACTGCTATGTTTCTACTTGGCCCGGTGTATGGAACTGGTTACATATGCTCCTCATGCTCTGAGAGGCCTGGGGAGAGGAAGGCATGAGAAGAGAGAGAAGAGAGGAGGGGTGCAGGCAGGAGGTGGAGAGCAAGAAGGAGAAGGCAGTGAGCTCACAGTGCAGACCTGCCGGCATCCTGCCCTGTGAGGGCCCAGTTACAGCTCCATCCCTTAGCCATGCTGCCCAGGAAGCCTCAGGAGATGCTACATATTGAGGGTCAAGTTGCTGTATCTGCTGTGTCCAAGGCTTGGGCAGAGCAATGGAAAATAGGCTTGACCCAAGTGGCCAATAAAACTTTCCATTAACAAGATTGAATTAAGAGTTTTAAAAAAATACATGAAATCTTTCCATTTGAGCAGTTTGGTTTTTTTGTTTTTTTTGTGAAGAAGATCAGCCCTGAGCTAACATCCATGCTAATCCTCCTCTTTTTGCTGAGGAAGACTGGCTCTGAGCTAACATCTATTGCCAATCCTCCTCCT